GAACATGCTGCGAGGGAGTCAGAAAAAAGTATTTATTTGATGATTTGTGATTGTGAATGAAAGGCTAAGAAAAAGAGACAAAGGAGAAGATTGACAGAGCGTAAAGGGGTGAAGATGTCTCTCTCTCTCTCTCTGTGTTCCAGCGCTTGTGATGGTTATTGCGTATAAATCTTTAGCATGAAGGAGAGAGGTGTCAAGTTGCGCAAACAGAACGCAATGTGTGTGTGTGTGTGTGTGTGTGTGTGTGTGTGTAAACCCAATGACCTCGCCCTCTGGTGAAGAGCAAGCAATTAGGACCTGCCTGTGATAAACACACACAGATACACACACACTAGCAAAATGAGAATGTTTTCCATGTTATGTCATTTTGCATGTCAAGCAAACACATGATTAGATTAGAGCTGCTAATCGCTTTTAAAATGTAGTCAAGTTAAATTAGATAAAGATAAATCATTACTAATTAAAATTGTTATATTGCTTATCATTTATTATTGTTCAGATAATACAAATTGTGCTTACAAGTATTGTTTTTTTATTATATTGGCTATGGTATTTAATTCTTTAATTATATAATAATGTTTAAAAATAATTCAAGTAATTATTTTGTTGTTGTGATTTGATAAAATATGAATTGACAATATTAAAATACTTTACTATTTTACAGAATAAATTAAAAAAAATAGAACACTAAAAACTGAAATTGAATTTTGGTAATGAACATGAATTTATTATAATATTTTAATGTACAGTATGAGAAATAGATGTTCATTTGTGACTTGCTAAATGTTACAATTAGCAGAGTTAAATTATTATTGTTTTTAAAGATCAACAGTAAGAGAGTGCTTGATGAAAGCAAAGGAATCTAAATATATGTATGTGTGTATATTAGTTTTTTGTATCAATATACATGTCTACAATTCACAATTGAGTCTATCTGAGGTAGACTTTGAGGTTAATGTGTCGTGTCTTGTCTTGAAATAGATACACTGATGAGCCAAATCATAATGAAGAGTCACAGGAATATCGTTGATCATCTCCTAACATGGCCACATATTAAAGGGATAGTTCACTTTAAAATTAATTTTTGGTATGTTTTAGCTTACCTCAAGGGCATCCAAGATGTAGGTGTCTTTGTTTCCACAGTATTTTCAATTTTGATATTTTTAGGTCAAACCGTTCTAGTCTGTCAGTCATATAATGGAGGTCTATGGTCACCACCTCAAAGAGCATGCACAGAGAAGTCCAAATTAAACATGATTTAATGACTCGTAAATGTAAGTACACATACACAAAAATTGATTGATGGTTATGGGAGGAATGTGTCACAACACTCAGTGTGTCGTACTCTGTTGCGTATGAGGCTGTCCTATCAGAGGGCCAATCATGACCCCTGTCCACCGCCGAAAATGCTACAATGGGCAAGTAAGTGTCATAACTGGACCTTGGAGCAGTGAAAGAAGGTCACCTGGTCCGATCAGTCCCATTTTCTTTTACATCTATGAGACGGCCATATATGCGTGTGCCTTTTATGGGACCAGGAGAGAGTGATGCTCTGGACAATGTTCTGCTGGTTCAGCCATTCATGTGGATGTCAGTTTGACACACGCCACGTACGTACACATTGTTGGAGACCAGGTACACTCCTTCATAACAATGGTGTTCCCTGGTGGAAGTGGCCTCTTTCGGCAGGATAATGCGTCCTGACACACTGCACACATTATTCAGGAATGGCTTGAGGAACATTATGAAGAGTTGTGTCAGTGTCAGGTCTGGCTGTTCTTGGCAAATTGCACCCATTTTAAGATCGCTTATCAAATTAAAAGTAGTTAAAATGCTAAAATCGCAACCCTTTATTCTTTGTGTCCCAATATATTTAAGTACAAGAATGTATTTTATGTAATACTTGACATTTAGGTGTTATTTCAAGGTTGATACGGGTCAGAGGGCATGACTAAAACTATTTATTTTGTCATGAATTCTACTAATTTAACACATCAAACTGACAGCTTTATTTTGGATATAACACTATTGTTGATATCTGTTGTCGAAGCTCTAAAAGAGTCCATTTGCACGTGCACACTGACTCACACATGCACACATACAAAACAGGGCTGGTTTTGCTTGAACAGAAACTCTAATGTAAACAGATCTTACAGCCATCTGCCTAATGTCAATGTGGCCAACACACACACACACACACACACACACACACACACTGGTCTACAGCATTGCCTCTTGCCTGTCCTTTTGGTTTTCTCATTTCGTATGCTGTGTGCTGGAGCAAGCCATTGTTTGTCAAATCCATTGTTTTATCCTATGTAGAGCAGCATATACTGTAGTACAACATGTTCTCTGCTATCCCTTCGGATAAATCCTCTGGAGTTTTCAAAACAGCACAGACATATCCAGTCAGTTATAAGAGGTTATTAGATTAATATGGCTGCTATAAACCTGCCTGTTGCACACAGTAAAGTGGCACTGAGAAATGATTTCAGTTTATGGCTTATTTTTTGTATCAAATGGTCACGCTTGGTCAGTGTATTGATTGGTGGATTACAGTGGAAGAAGTGTTATCGACTGATTGCTGTTCCACCATTAACAGCACTTAATTTAGTGTCGATTGACCTCTGTGTTCATGCTCCAAAAATACAGAGAAAAGGCTCGTTTACTCCAAGAGCGATAACTATAAAGAAAACTGGGTAACACTTTACAATACGGGTGCACTAATATACATTCATTCATACTTAACTGATGCACAGATAATCATGAGTTAATATATGACCCATGAAGAACTAAACCATTAATTAATGATTACTGCATCAGCAACTAATAAAGAGTCTGTATGATTAATAGATTAAGTAATACATGAATTGCTATTAATTCAACGTGTCATTGTGTATTAATTCCTTAATAACATATTTTATTAACTAATAGTGTAAATTAATGTGTTAATTACCACAATTAGTCAAAGCTATACACTTCAACTTCCAGTTGTCTGCTTTAATTAATCATTAGCTAATGATTTGCAAAGGTATCATTATGTTATGACTTTACTTGTTGGGGCACATCATTATTAACGAGTCATTTAGTAATTGTAGTAATTTGCACATGAATTTGCACTAACAATGAAGTAATTAATCATGTATTAATGCATATTAGTGTACCTGTCTTATTATCTGGAAGTTGAAATACAAGGCTTTGGCTCATTCTGGTAATTAACATATTAATTAACACTATTAGTTAAAAAAATTAGTTATTATGAAATTAATGCACAATTACATATTTAATTAATAACAATTCATGTACGAACTAATACATTAACCCTACAGGCTCTTGATTAAGTCGTAATGTGGTAATCATTAATGAATAGCTTAAATAATCATTAGTTACACATTAATTCAGTATTATCGGTGCATTAGTTAAGCATGAATTAATGAAATTGCGACGATAACCCGAAAACTGCGATGATAAAATGTCCTTCTCAGTGAATTGGTACAAAACACAGATTCAATCATTCATTTGTGTCATCACTCAATTTTCAATTGAGGCCCTTGTATTTAAAAAAAGTTTTTATAACGATTAATCGCATCCAAAATAAAATTTTGTGTTTAAATAATATATGTGGGTACACTGTATATAATTATTTTTAATATATATAAATACACACACATGCTTGTATATTTTTAAGAAATATTTTCATGTATATACTATATATAGATTTATAAATAATTTATATTATATATAAATATTTTATATATAAATAATAATTTGTTCTTAAATATGCAATCGTGTGTGTATTTATATATATATACATTTATACACAAAATAATTATACTCAGTGTACCCATATATATTATGTAAACACAGACTTTTATTTTGGATGCGATTAATCACGATTAATCATTTGACAGCCCTAGTTTTTTAGTTAAAAAATATAGATAGTGCTAAATATTGCTTTTTTGTGTTTTTTTAGTGTGTGCAAATAAAATTTGGGGTCAGTAAGATTTTTTTTTAAAATAGAAATTAATAGTTATATTCAGCAAGGAGGATGCATTCATTGTGCAATTTTACATTGTTTCTTGAACATCAAATCAGCGTAGATATTATATATGTATATTTGTTGTTGTTGTTGTTGATAATCTTGTTATCAACAGTTAAAAATCTGCATAAAAACAGTAAAAAAAATGTTTCAGAAAAATATTTATATATTCAGATTTTTTAAAAGTAAATCATTTGTTACAGAAATAACAAGATAACATATATATATATATATATATATATGTATATATATATATATGTATATATATACTGTATATATTGGCCAGCATTACCTACAATAAAATATCCGAACTGTATGGAAGATGTCTGTGTGTTAGTGTTGTTGTTCTTGTTGTTTTTGTTGTTGTTTGTGAGACCGAAGGCAAATTTCCACATTGTGGATGTGAATGAAATGAAATGAAATGAATGAATGAATGAATGAATGAATGAATGGATCTGCTTATCCACTATTTTGCTTATACAGTATTTTCTCAATGAATTGTTTTAATGACTTTCGACTCACTTTCCCACCGCCACGCAATGTGTCCTCTGGTGTGACACGGAAGTAATTATTTAGCATATGTTGATAGTCCGACAAGTGGTTCATCATGATTCTGCTGTGCTTTCAGCAGAGTGTGATGGTGTGAACCATGTGACCTGGAGTAACCCCCATAATTCTCCCATTACCCCTCCCTTCATTTACCCAAAGGAAGTAACAGTGTTGGCTCTGCATCAGGCTCCATTTTTAGCTCCGTTCTGGCTCCCTTAGTGTAAACTTCTCTACAGGAAGAAGCCTCTCTGGGTCAGAGGTTGGCCTTTTTTCCCATACTACAGTTGAGTAAAGTACGACAGATGTCCCAGGATTCCAGAGGGTTGAGCTAAAGCTGGTTTGGTTGAAAGGTTCAACTGATCACTAGAGAGACATTGAATGAGTCTTTTTTTTCTTCTTTTTCTCCCCTCAGTTGAGTGCAAACGTGCTGATCTTCCTGTGCACCAACATCATTGGGATCTGCACCCACTACCCAGCCGAGGTCTCTCAGAGACAAGCCTTTCAGGAGACGCGAGGCTACATCCAGGCCCGGCTGCACCTGCAGAGAGAAAACCAGCAGCAGGTCAGCTCTCACAACAGGCTCTTAGTGCCTCACGGTCAATTCAGTTTCAGTGTTGAGGTCATTGAGGACCATTGGCTGGCACAGTTCAAAAGCATTCACTACCATTTAAAAGTTTCAATATTTTTCTTTTTTTTTTACAAAAGATGACTTATATCTGAGTGAAAAATAGCTTCTGGAATAGGGATGTTCAGTTCTTGAACGAATCATTCTTTTGAGCCAGTTCACTAATCGAACTGAATCCAAAGTAGCACGTCTGACTCAAAAAGAACCGAATGAGCTGGTTCAAGTTTGCCGAGGTTTACCAAGGACTCTGATGTGTGAGTTGACGATACTATGCAAGCCTGTACTGGAAATATGCTTATTATGAGTACTTTTATTAAAGTGATGAACTGAGAAATCCAATTTTCCTTGAGCTTTTGACATCTAAGAGGTCATCATATTATAAGAATATCCTGTAAGTTTCAGAACGGAAAACGTCCTTGTTAGTCCAATAAAAGCTTTTATTGACACCAGGCTCAGCAAACGACTCGTTTTTCAAAGTGGGGAACTATGACGTCAAAGAGGATAAAACACCAACGCCTACTTCAACACGGCCGGTTTAGCCCCGCCCACCGATTTGCGCATTACACGCAAAGCTAAAAAACATAGATGCCTCATTATATTATGCAAACCTGTTATCCACTCACAGCAATGGGTGTTTACTTCCAAGATGCCCATAAAAACAGTAATAGTATTATTATTAAAGGAACTTTTTTCTATTGTTATATAGTTATTTTCTGTAGTGGAAACACCACACAGTGGTGTTTCATTCTCTTTCACACACACACACACACACACAAATTCCCTCTCTTCTCTCCTCTCTACAATTTTCAGGAACGCCTGTTGCTGTCTGTTTTGCCAAGGCATGTCGCCATGGAAATGAAGGCGGACATCAATGCAAAAAAAGAAGACATGATGTTTCACAAGATCTACATCCAGAAACACGACAATGTCAGGTGAGCATCGTGTCAAACTGTGCCACATTAACTATCAATGGATTTGATCTGAATGTGAAAAGCAAAGCATACTAGTATATAACATGACCAATTTTTTTCCCGCCCTCATGACCTTAATTACATCAGCACAAAAGAAAAGCTATTTCAGAGGTGGAGAAACATTTTCATTTGGATTTATGAAAAGGCTTACATTCATTCAGTTCTTAAGTGAATGAGCACAAAGACAGTTATTTTATTTAGAAAGAAATAAGGTCAGTTTTGCTTTCTGTAAACCTGCAGATCCTTTGACTGTTAGCATTAGCCTTTAGCTAAGGTAGTTCATCTGCTTTTTATCATCTCCTGTGGCCATTTACCCCTTTCTGTGATTATCGTCACTCAATTCCATTTATCTCTCCTATCTCTTTTACTCTTTTCACCTTTCCTTCAGCTCTGGGAGCTGGTAATAGGGAGCAATGGGGCTTTTATTTTGAAAGGTGGTCAGCTAATTACGGTGAAAGAGAGAATAGTTAATTATCAGTCTCTAAGCTAGCGCTAACCCCAGAAGATACTGAAATGAAGCCGCAATTCAATTAAAGTTCTCCACAGCGTCTGCCACTACACTGAGTGAATTTCCCCTCAGCTCAAGGGATTCACACACACGCATGTACTTTTCTACCTAGTTGTTGATGTTGATAGTGTACATTCAAACATTAAAATGAAATCTTTTTAATCTCTCTTTATTCATTGTTTGATTGGCATGACTGTTTGCCGATATTACCAAAGCATTTAATCAATACAGGAACATTGTTATGAATGTTATGTTATGAAAAAAGCAACAATGCATAGTTTAAATCTCTCTCTCTCTCTCTCTCTCTCTCTCTCTCTGTCAGTATTCTGTTTGCAGACATTGAGGGTTTCACTAGTCTGGCGTCGCAGTGCACGGCTCAGGAGCTGGTCATGACTTTAAACGAGCTGTTTGCCCGCTTTGACAAGCTGGCCTCGGTGAGCGAACGACTACTAACACATGATCTAAAGATGTTTTTAACTGGATCATTCATTGTTGCTGATATGTTTATTATGGTGACAAGATGAAGTCTACAGTATATTTAATAAAATGTTGAGACTGCAAGATATTCGTTCTACATTACATTTACAGTTTTCATTTGAATGTTAATCTGTTTAAATTATACAAAAATGATAAAATACACTACCGTTCAAAAGTTTGGGGTCAGTAAGATTTCTTTGAGACGTTTAAATAAAACATTTCTGTTTCAAAGATTTCTGTTCTATTCATCAAAGAATCCTGAAATGATAATATGTCACAGTTTCCTTAAAAATATTAATCAGCAAAACTGTTTTCAACATTGATAATAATCAAAATGTAATAATCAATAATCATTGATTATTACATTTATAATCAAATAATCAAAATAATAATAAAAATAATCGAATGTTTCTTGAGCAGCAAATCATCATATTAGAATGAATTCTGAAGGATAAAATGATCACATCACAGAAATAAATTACATTTTAAACTATATTACAATAGTTATATGAATTTTAACAATATTTCACAATATTACTATATTCATGCTTTTACTGCATTTTTGATCAAATGAATGGAGCCTTGGTGAGCATAAGAGACTTACAAAAAAATCTTACTAACCCAAATTTTTAATAATTTGGAAAAAAAAAATTAAAAAAAAAATAATAAAGAAAAAAAAGACAAAAACTGCGAAGTATGGCCAAAGCAAAAATAATTAAAACACTGTTTAATAATAAGGGTCAGTAAGAAGATGAAAAATGTATATGCATGAAAAACTTGTTCCAGTCAGTGGTGTTTTTTTGTGTGTGTGGATCTGCCAGGGGTGAACACATGTGGGTGAACCACTGGTGAAGGCTGTGGGAATGAGGCTTCCCAGTGGGCACTCTCAGCACGGCTCCACCACAGCACACGAGGGGCTCTGAAAGCCCAGCGTGGTGCATAAAAACAGACTCTGTGTCCTTCAATTGAGCTGAGGTTGGAGCCCTGGTGGGTGCTGGACACAATGTTAGCATTTCTAATGTTGTGTTCCTCCAACCCGAGTCCCTTGGCCTTTTTCTTTATGAGGGAGTCATTGAATTGTTCACTCAAATGATTCGTTCAAAAACTCGTATTCATTCCTGAGCAAAAAAAAAAAACACTACTGTGTTGCTCTGCTTGAACTTCACTTATTTATTACCTGGTTCTCGCTGTAACACGTTCATAGTCAAAGTTTTGGGACAGCCTTCGTCGCGCCACCGTGACGCATTTGGCCTTCAAAAGCAGCCTTTGAAGGATGTAGTGTATGAATTGGGACGCAGATACTATGTCACAAGCACACACAAATATCACACTCTCTGTATCACACACTAAGCAGAATGACTACCCACTTTTTACACCTCAGCGTGAAGCTGCCATTTTCCCAGCTTGAACTTTCTAATTAACTTCTGTTACGTCTTGTGTGTGTGTGTGTGTGTGTGCAGGAGAACCATTGCTTACGGATTAAGATCCTGGGGGATTGTTACTACTGCGTGTCAGGCTTACCTGAGCCCAGAGCGGACCACGCTCACTGCTGTGTGGAAATGGGGGTAGACATGATCGAAGCCATTTCGTAAGTCTCACTAAGATGTTCATCAATAACTTTCATCTGACCTTTTTGAAATTTATTTTAGTTCTGAGGTATAATCTTTATATATTTTTATTTATTTATTTAATGTTAAATATGAAATGTTTTAAGAGGGATTTGTGAACAAAATAACACAATTATATTATTATTATTTTTATAAATTAATATAAATTAAAGGGGCTATATGTAGAATTCAGTAACCCTTTTTACTAGCGACACCGGTGGCCGTTAAGTGAACTGCAGCTCGTGCAGCGTACAAGAGACTGAATGTCATTAAATGGCCTGATATACTCACTGTGAAGTATAATAAAGAAGTTGGAAATACCTTTGCTGCAATTTACTGTTAATGAACATCCTAACGGCAACTATGCTGGTGTTTAGATGAATACGTGTGTTACGTGCTTTTCTCTCAATAGCAAAATACACACAACAAAAATGACGGCAGTGAGAAAACAGCAGTTTAGAAAGATCATAGCGATGTGGATATGTTTGCATCATGTCGACAGATGAGGTCATTAAAATCACACTGTTATGATTGATTATAAAGTCTATTTGAGAGTGTAGACTGTATAGATCTGGCTTTGTGAGACTACAGTTTAAATGAATCCCTTTTCTTTGCATGACACATTGACATTACAGTACAGAATATCTCTTTTGGTATTTTACTGAACATTGTATAAGAATTAGTTTCATGTGTCATTTAACAGAAGTGAGGCTCTCGAGAGCCCGTCATATCCTTTTGATTTTCCCAAAAAATGTTAATACATGAAAATTCATACATATAACCCCTTTAAAGCTTTAATTTAAAGTGAGACCCCCGGGGTAAGATGTCGTCCTGATGCTTGGGGCAAATGGCCAGTGTTTTATTCAATGTATATTATTTGATAATATTTATTGTTTAATGATTAAATTAATTAATTATACGTATTTAAATCAGTTTTGCTCATTTATACAAAGCTTAAATAAAATAAAATATTAATATTAGATGAAAAACTTTGTTTTAGCAACCAACTGAAATAAGTTGAAGTACTATATTTACTAGAACTAAAACTGAAATAAACATAAATGAACGCTAAACAGAAATATTTAAAATAAAATAAATAAAAATAAAATGACTAAAACTTAAACTGAAATAAATGGTCAGTCATATCAAAAATATGAATAAATACTAAAATAGTATATAAATAATACTAAAACAACACTAATTGAAAACATGTTTATGTTTGCGTCACAGATTGGTGCGGGAGGTCACGGGGGTCAACGTAAACATGCGGGTCGGTATCCACAGTGGGCGCGTGCACTGTGGAGTTCTTGGATTGAGAAAGTGGCAATTCGACGTGTGGTCCAACGACGTCACGCTGGCCAACCACATGGAGGCTGGAGGCAAAGCCGGGTGAGAGTTAAAGACAGAACACAGATACACACATCATACATGTACACAGCTATACATAACACTGGACTGACTGTTTAGTAACTGAAAAATGAATGTTCCTCAGGAGGATCCACATCACGAAAGCTACTCTGCAGTACCTGAATGGAGACTATGAGGTGGAACCAGGTTTTGGAGGGGAGAGAAACGCCTATTTAAAAGAGAACAGCATTGAGACCTTCCTAGTGTTGGGCTGCAGTCAGAAGCGGGTTAGACACGTCATATTATAACAATTTAACTCCTTCCCCGTCAGAGTTTTAAAAAATAAGTTGGCAGTCACTGCCAGCATTTTTGATCATTTTCACAAAAATTGCATTCCAGAATATTTTGTTGAATGAGTATCTGAACATCCACAGAATGGAGATTCTCTAGAAATCTGGGTTAGATATTTTAAGATAAAATATTTTCTATAACTTTTATCATCTTTCAAATGCCACCATCTATCCACATTTCTGCTATGAATATACTGTATATATATATATATATATATATATATATATATGAAGAGTTCAGATGCAAAAGCCTCTAAGTGCCATTTGAAATTTTCTTCTAGAATGATCATTTTTATCAAGCTTGTATATTTAAGTTCAGTAATTTCACTTAAATGGCAATGAAGATTACCTATTAATTGTTATGTAAGTGAAATTACTGAACTTAAATATACAAGTTTGATAAAAATCATCATTCAAGAAGAAAATTTCAAATGGCATTTAGAGGCTTTTGCATCTGAACTCTTCATATATATATTAGGGCTGTGCAAAAGTTAATTGCGATTAATCGCATCCAAAATAAAAGTCTGTGTTTACATAATATATTTGTGTGTGCTGTATATAATTATTTTGTATATATAAATACCTATGCATGCATGTATATATTTAAGAATTATTCGCGCTTAAATTCTGTATATATTTATAAATACATAATCTAAATTATATAAATATAAATATTTTATATATGAATAACACATTTTCTTAAATATATACATGCATGTGTGTGAATTTATATATACAAAATAATTATATACAGCACACACAAATATATTATGTAAACACAGACTTTTATTTTGGATGCGATTAATCGCATAATTAAAAGATAATTATTTTTATACTGCACATTATAATGTTTCGATTATAAATGATGGATTTTAGATCATGTTTATGTGACAACGATGGATTTCTTTAGCATTTTGCAAAACGATCCCCGTTCACACGGATCCGCAAGAATGACTAAAATGCAGTATTATGCTGCAGGCCAGTAAATGGCGCACGTGCATGACGTCACAGTTTTCACAAATTCAACGTTTTTTGTAGTTCACACAGAGAAAATGGGATCGTATTTAAAAAAAACTTGCACTTTAAAAAAACATTTTCTTTGCCCAAGTTTGTATTTTCAGAACCCCAAAACGCCATTTCCATGTAAATAAACAGCCAAAACGAAAATCTGGACAAACAAATTACAGAATTATACAAATTACAGAAGATTTATTGGTTATCTGTCAAAATAACTCATTTTAATATTGGTGCATCCCTAATTTTCATTCATCATTATATTCAAGAATATTGACCACAGTACTTTTCCTTTGCCCTTGACTGTTTCAGAAAGATGAGAAGGCCATGATGGCTAAGATGCAGCGCACGCGGACGAACTCCAACGAGGGTCTGGTACCGCGATGGGTGCCCGACAGATCTTTCTCCAGGACTAAAGACTCCAAGGTCTTCAGACAGATGGTGAGACCCCACATGACCTGTCGCTCAATCTGTCATGGCACTCGCCTGATCGCTCTCTCAGCCGTCCTCTACCTCCTTTATGTCCTCCTATATTACTCACAGATCTTTCTGATCTTCTTTGACGTTCATTTGTTCCTTCTCTTCACTCAGGGCATTGATGAAACATCCAGCAAAGACAAGTAGGTGTTTTTTTCTTGTCTTTTTGAGAATAAATGCAGTTAGAGAAAAAAAAGAGCGCATTGGAAATGTGTTTTTCTAACTGTTCTTCTGCTCACGAACACAGCCGTGGTGCTCAGGAGGCGCTGAACCCGGAGGACGAGGTGGATGAGTTCTTGGGCCGTGCCATTGATGCTCGCAGTATTGACCAGCTCCGCAAAGACCACGTGAAGAAGTTCCTGCTCACCTTCCAGACCTCCAGCCTGGAGAAAAAGGTCAGACCCAAAGACACTGGCTGAGCTCCAGCTTCCTGTCCAGATCTCCCCACCCATTCAAGTTTAATTTAGCAGGGCCGATCGTCTAGCAGACTAACACGATGGATGAGATCATGTGAGATCAAATGTCCTCCAATTTCCTGTTTGGTATTTAAGAAGGGGAAAACTAGGAGACTAAATTCTTTGGATTGCTTCATAGTTGTTTTTAGCTTGTCATGTGGTTAACGGTCTCAAGTTGTTTCAAACCTGTATGAGTTTATTTTTTCTTTTGAACACGATATTATAGGGAAGATATTTTGAAGAATGTCATGTCAGTAACCAAGACTGTTGATGGACCCCAAAATACAATGGAAGTCAATGGGGTCCAACAACTGTTCATTTACTGACATTCTTCAAAATATCTTCCTTTGTCTTCAGTAGAAGAAAGAAATTCATACAGGTTTGGAACAACCTTTGGAGAGTAAATTATAGATTTCCAAGTCAACTACTCCTTATAGAGTAGATAAAGATCTAAAAATCATTCTGATTATATAAGAGAATAGCAAAGTCCTGCTATAATGATCATAACTCAGAGGAACGATATTGTTGGAATCACTTTTCCAGCTTATGAATGATAAAAAAACATTGACAGCCAATCAGAATCCATTCTGCTTTAAAGAGCTCGACCATTGAAAGTGGCAGGCGACAGAACTGTTGCACGCTTTAAATAAACAGAACGATATCATACGCTGGTGTGGATGCTAATACAGTTATCATTGTGGTATTCTGTACAGTTGTAGTTCGTAGTGTACATACACAGCCGTCATATTTGGCACAGATTAGTAAGTCAGCATGTGTTGTTGATATTTTATTTCCTTGTCTTGTTTGTAGTATTCCAAGAAGGTAGATGATCGTTTCGGGGGTTATGTGGCCTGTACGCTGCTGGTCTTCTGTTTCATTTCCTTTATCCAGATCGTCATATTCCCTCAGTGAGTGATCAACACACACACACACACACACATTCACTTAGCTATCTAAATGAGGACATTTCATACACTTCTACTGTTTTTATTTTATAGCTAGTAGTTATAAATACTATAACCAGGGCTTGACATAAACAAGGGGTATTTCAGCAGTGGCAAGAACGCAGTCACTCCTACTAATCACTTCCACAGGTTGAAATTTATATATAATATAGACATTTTTCAATTGTATTTTAAAAAGACGTCTGAAATAATAATCTAAGTGCAATGTAATGTTGTCAAAAATATTGTTTTTATGATACATATCGACTCTGAAACGCTTTTAATATACCAGCTGTGCTCTCTCTCTCTCTTGTGCTCACACCCAAAGTGCGGCACATAAAGCTGCCTCTAAATTGAGAGTACTAAATGCTGCTTATTGTTAATGCTTAATGCTTAATGCAGGTCTTGGTGAGTATTCACGTAAACACAGTCAGTTATATTTTAAGTGAATGTTAACACAAAGAAAACGCATGTGTAATGGATCCGTGTGTCATGTCTTAAAGTGACAGCAGCCTAATTTACCTGCTGCCAAATTAAGAAAATATAAAAAAAGATCTAAACGGCAGTTTTCCCCGTGGTATCAATGTCAAAATTGGGTCCAGTTTAAATGCCTCTGTGCATGGTGAGCAAAAACGTTAATGTCAAGTTAATAAATATAACCTAACCCTAACCCACACACAGTCTGCTCATTAAGTCACCGTTTCAGGATCCAAATCACATGCCAAAAGCAAACAAAAAACAGTCTCACAATGTGTTTAAAGGGGTCATATAATGGCGTTTTCAAATTAATTTGATTCTTTAGAATCTAAATAAAAGGTTTGTAATATGCTTTAATTAAAAATTCTCATTAGTATTGTAAGAAAACACTAATTTTACCTGGTCAAAAACAGCCCTCTTTTCAGCACGCTGTTTTAGTGCATATGCCTTTAAATGATAATGAGCTTTGTTGACTCCGCCCCTCTGTTCTCTGACACAATGCTCGTGGAGTGTTGTCTTGACAATAGTTGAGGTGATATTTTTGAGAGAGAATGGCAGCGGGAGTCTCTGAGGACACATCTGTGCAACCGTTGTGTCCTCAGAGTCCTGCCAACACACATTTCAGTACAATCAACTTTTAAAAATGCATGTACCATTATATGACCCCTTTAAAACTACCGAAAAATCATAATCTAACCTTTATATAAAAATCCCAGGTGGCCAGACAGTGATTCATCTTTTATGAATCTTCAAAACATTATTGTCCGGGACACTGCGATCCCAGAGACTGCAGTAAATACACCAGTCCATGAGTAATATGAATAAATAGTGCTCATAAATGGATGTCTCACTTGAAACAAGTGGAGGTTTGGATCCACAAATGGTATTCCTTACTTTCACGATTCACTGAAATGAAGATTTTTACAATTAAAAAACTTTATTTACTTTATACTGTTTTTACAAATGAGCACGTCCCCAAACTGACAACTTCTGGCGACATATTTGTCCCCAAATTCTGGTTAACTAGTCTGAAACATGAGTCTGAGACTTCCTCTGTGTTCTGCAGTACTCTGGTCATGCTGGGGATTTACATCAGTATCTTCATCATTCTTGCCAACATCCTCTTCATCTGTGCCATTTATTCCTGCGTGAAGGTAAGCAGTTGTACTTACTTAAAGGGATACTCCACTTTTTTTGGAAATAGGCTCATTTTACCACTCCCCCAGAGTTAAACAGTTGAGTTTTACCGTTTTCAAATCCATTCAGCCGATTTTAGAAGAATATCAGTAACCAGACAGTTTCTGGTCTCATTGACTTCCATAGTATATTTTTTTCCTACTGTGGAAGTCAATGAGACCAGAAACTGTCTGGTTATTGATATTCTTCTAAATATCAGAAAATCGGCTGAACGGATTCGAAAACGGTAAAACGAGCCTATTTCCCAAAAAAGTGGAGTATCCCTTTAAAGGTGTAGTTCACTTTTTAAAATACTTTTGCTGATAATTTACTCACCCCCATGTCATCCAAGATATCCATGTCATTCTTTCTTCAGAAGAAATTAAGGTTTTTGATGAAAACATTCCAACGGACTTCAATGGGAACCAAACGGTTCAAGGTCCATAGACAGTTTCAGTGCAAACTGTTCAAAGGGCTTTAAACGACACCAGATGATGAATAAGGGTCTTATCAAGTGAAACGATCGCTCATTAAAAAAAAAGTTTAAGTTTTATAAGCTCAAATGCTCGCCTTGCTCTGTTCTGTGATACGTTCTTTCATCGAACGAAATGAACGAGTTGACTCGGGAAAAGATTCGTTCATTTTGATGAACGAGTTCAAATAGAAGAGTCACGAACGCGCATCACAGAACAGAGCAAGGCGACCATTTGTGCTTATAAAACTTAAACTTTGTTTTTTTTTTTTAAATGAGCGATCGTTTCGCTTGATAAGACCCTTATTCATCGTCTGGAATCGTTTAAAGCCCTTTGAACAGTTCGCAGTTTGCACTGAAACTCTCATTTGGACCTTGAACCGTTTGGTTCCCATTGAAGTCCATTAAATGGAGAAAAATCCTGTAATGTTTTCAACAAAAACCTTCATTTCTTTTCAACTGAAGAAAGAAAGACATGGACATCTTGGATGACATGGGGCTGAGTAAATTATCAGCAAAAGTTTTTTCAAAAGTGAACTACTCCTTTAAGCTGCTTTTCATTCTCTCGCGTTTTACATATGTGTACAACTGGCCTGTATCTCTCTGTCTCGCAGCTCTTCCCCGCCGCCATGCAGACTGTGTCCAAGAAGATCGTTCAGTCTCGCACCAACAGCACACTGGTGGGAGTTTTCACCCTCATCCTCGTCTTCATCTCTGCCTTTGTCAACATGGTACGCAGAGGTGCCAAATCACTTAGCACACAACAAACACTTCAGCTCACAATCTTATTTCTTCCAAAGAGACCGTATGATCACAAATATTGCTTTAAAAGAACAATTCTGTCATCATTTACTCACCCTCATGTTGTTCCAAAACTTTGGCCTAAGAAAATAAAAATAAATGATGAGGCTCCAAAAAAGCTCCAAAAATGGCAAAGTGTTAGAAAATTAGAGCAGCGAGCTCATCCTTTAACTGCTTGTAGCTATATAATGATTGTATATTGTGTGTTTCCTGCAGTTTTCCTGTGACACACGGAAGCTGGTGGACTGTGTAGCAGAGCGGTTTAACTGGTCGTCGTCAGAGATGGTGACTCCCTGTGTCATTCACAACTTGTCCCGCTCTGCAGCCGACGGCCTGGATATCTGTCGCAGCGATACTCCCTCCTGCCCCTTCCCTGAGGTAAAAAGAGTGGATAGTCACACCAAGATCGGAAATCTGACACATTACAGGTTTCATGCTGACTCATCTTCGTGTTTACCTTCAGTATTTCAGCTACAGCGTGCTGCTGACCCTGCTGGCCTGCTCCGTGTTCCTGCAGATCAGTAGTATAGGGAAGCTGGCTTTAATGCTGCTCATCCAGCTCACTTTCCTGCTGCTTGTGGAGTGGCCAGAGGTGGCGCTGTTTGACAACGCAGACCTCTTCGTTACGGCCAATGCCCTGTAAGTACCACTGACGGCCACTAGAGGGAGACAGCACTGCTCTACTTCAACAGAGAGAAGTAGATTTGAAGTGGCTTTATGTTGTGATGATAATAGAGGCTGCAGGGATGTTGTATTTTTGAGAACGAGAAGTCAATTTTTTTGTGTGTGTGTGTGGTTAAATGGTTTCTACGACATAAAACACACCAGTTGTTACTAGCTAACTACACCACGGTTGCTCGACTGTATTACTGTATTAGCATTTAGCAAGTTGTTAGCAAACGCATTTTGCTAACAGTTAGCAAAATGCGTTTGCTAACAACTTGCTAAATGCTAATACAGGGAATACAGTCGAGCAACCGTGGTGTAGTTCGTTAGTTAAATTAGTTAATGTGCTAACTAAAATGAACTAACAATGAGCAATACATTTGTTACTGTATTGGTTAATATTTGCTAATATTAGTTATAACAATGTTCATTGTTTGTTCACAGTGCATTAACTAACTATCATACCACCTTTGATTTTAATAATGTATTAGTAAATGTTGAAATTAATATTAACTAAGATTCTCTAGACGTATTGTTCATTGTTTTGATTTAATATTTAGCTTTAATTAATTTTATTGCATCTTAATTCAGTTAATGAAATGATTCAGTTTTAGTTAACAATAAATACTTTTTGTTCCCCCAATACTGAAAATGTGACTCCATCTCAGATTTGAATATTCAGTTTGTGTATTTGTATTAAAAATAAATGCTGTGATATGATCTGCGTATGTTTGTATGTTAAAACAAGTGTTCTTGCTGTTGTTTTTTTTTTTTTTTGTAGAGTTTTCAATGAAACTCTGCAATGGTGAGACCTATATTAATCGCTTCTTATTATTCATATATGATCATTTATTGTTTTTAAGCTCAGAAATGATTAATCGTTATGGTTTTCCCACAGGTCCAATCTCAACACAACTACTGAACAGTGGTATGTCTTAATAGACTTTTTGAGTTTTGAATTATTCGAATAGCTTAGATCTTTCTTGTGGTTGTGTGTGCTGTATTCTGTTACATCCATGATGCTGTGATGTAAATAATTGATCCTGTGGTTGACCTGATCTCTCTTGTTGCAGTACTTTCAGGGTGACTAAAGTGTCCCTAAAGGTCATGACCCCAGTGATCCTCACTGTATTTGTACTAGCACTGTACCTTCATGCCCAGCAAGTGGAGTCAACAGCTCGCCTAGACTTCCTTTGGAAACTTCAGGTCAGGATTTGAATCTACGTTATCAGCTGAACCACTTTTTTTGCTTGATTGACTAAGATATACAATAGCGTGTGTGACCAAAAATAATTTGTTCATAAAATATCTTCAGAATTTGATATATGGACTGTAATTGGCCTGTTCCTCCACAGGCCACAGAGGAGAAGGAGGAGATGGAGGAACTTCAAGCCTACAACCGTCGGCTTCTCCACAACATCTTGCCCAAAGATGTGGCCGCCCACTTTCTAGCTAGGGAGAGGAGGAACGACGAGCTGTACTACCAGTCGTGTGAGTGCGTGGCTGTCATGTTCGCCTCCATCAGCAACTTTTCCGAGTTCTACGTGGAGCTGGAGGCCAACAACGAGGGAGTGGAGTGTCTGAGGCTCCTCAATGAGATCATCGCTGATTTTGATGAGGTTAGAAGGCTGGAGATTAATGTTTTGAAGAGAATGAGGGAATCTTAAATTAATAAACCATTCTGTGTGTCGAATATGAAAACATCTTTGCTTGGATTTTTTGACTTGAATACACTACCATTTAGTTTGAGGTTGGTTGTATATTTTTAATGCTTTTGAAAGAAGTCTGAAGTCTCTTAGTATTTTATTGCAAATATACACTCACCTAAAGGATTATTAGGAACGCCTGTTTAAGTTCTCATTAATGCAATTATCTAATCAACCAATCACATGTCAGATGCTTCAATGCATTTAGGGGTGTGGTCCTGGTCAAGACAATCTCCTGAACTCCAAACTGAATGTCAGAATGGGAAAGAAAGGTGATTTAAGAAATTTTAAGCGTGACATGGTTGTTGGTGTCGTATTTCACAGTCTGCTCAGTTACTGGGATTTTCACGCACGACCATTTCTAGGGTTTACAAAGAATGGTGTGAAAAGGGAAAAACATCCAGTATGCGGCAGTCCTGTGGGCGAAAATGCCTTGTTGATGCTAGAGGTCAGAGGAGAATGGGCCGACTGATTCAAGCTGATAGAAGAGCAACTTTGACTGAAATAACCACTCGTTACAACCGAGGTATGCAGCAAAGCATTTGTGAAGCCACAACACGCACAACCTTGAGGCGGATGGGCTACAACAGCAGAAGACCCCACCGGGTACCACTCATCTCCACTACAAATAGGAAAAATAGGCTACAATTTGCAAGAGCTCACCAAAATTGGACAGTTGAAGACTGGAAATATGTTGCCTGGTCTGATGAGTGTCGATTTCTGTTGAGACATTCAGATGGTAGAGTCAGAATCTGCCGTAAACAGAATGAGAACATGGATTCTACATCAATGCCTTGTAGGCAGTTCTGAAGGTGAAAGAGTGTCAAACACAGTACTAGTATGGTGTTCCTAATAATTCTTTAGGTGAGTGTATTTTAAAATGTAATTTTTTTCTTGTGATTAAAGCTGAATTTTCATCATCATCACTCCAGTCTTCAGTGTCACATGATCCTCCAGAAATCAGTCTGAAATGATGATTTGATGCTCAAGAAACATTTCTGATTATTATCAATGTTGAAAACAGTTGTGCTGCTTTGATTAGTTTAATTCATCCTTGCTGAATAAAAGTGTTCATTTCTTTCAAAACGAAATCTCACTGACCGTACATTTTTTGAAGGCAGTGTACATTGATGAAACCTTCTCTCACTATTACAGATCATCAGTGAGGAGAAATACAGACAGCTGGAGAAAATAAAGACCATTGGCAGCACCTACATGGCTGCATCTGGCCTCAACGACTCCACCTATGACAAGGAAGGCCGCTCGCATATAACCGCTCTGGCCGACTACGCCATGCACCTCCGCGAACAGATGAAATACATCAATGAGCATTCCTTCAACAACTTCCAGATGAAGATTGGTAAGTGCCAAAGCCTACAGGCTCACTTAAGAGTCCAATGTTCACTGATTATTTATTAGAAACATTTGAAAATATTTGGCCAAATCAAGGTCATGTGGTACAACCAAGTCTCTTAAAATGTCAAATAATTTGATATTGTTGATGTAAAATGTAATGTGACTCCCCACAAATAAAATGGTATTATTAAAATTAATTATTCATCAGCTTTGTAACAAAACAAAAAAATCTCTTAAAGGAATAGTTCACTTTTAAAAAAAAACTTTTGCTGATAATTTACTCACCCATTTTTCTCCATATAATGGACTTCATTGGGCACCAAACGGTTCAAGGTCCAAATGACAGTTTCAGTGCAACTTCAAAGGGCTTTAAACGTAAAGGTTTAAGTTTTATAAGCACAAATGCTCACCTTGCTCGACTCTCCTGTGTGAACGAAATCAAAGAATCAACGAATGTTTTTTTCAAGTCATTTGGTTCATTCAACTAACGAAATGACTCGAAAAAAGATTCGTTCATTTTGATGAACGAGTTCGAACAGGAGAGTAATGAACACTCATCACAAAACAGAGCAAGTCGAGCATTTGTACTTAAAAAACTTAAGCTTTTGTATCTATTTTTGAAATGACTAATCGTTTCGCTTGATAAGACCCTTATTCATCGTCTGGAATCATTTAAAGCCCTTTGAAGCTGCACTGAAACTCTCATTTGGACCTTGAACCGTTTGGTTCCCATTGAAGTCCATTATATGGAGAAAATCCTGGAATGTTTTCATCAAAAACCTTAATTTCTTTTCGACTGAAGAAAGAATGACATGTACATCTTGGATGGCATGGGGGTGAGTAAATTATCAGCAAAAGTTTTTTTAAAAGTGAACTACTCCTTTAAGATGTGTGCGCATGTTTTTACTGAGTAAAAAAAAAATTCTTAAATTGTTTATGCCCAGTGTTATTAACTAAAACTATTAGAAATGTTTTTGTTAATTGAAATAAAGGCGAAATAAAGAAAACAATATTTGATGGAAGAATATAAACTTAAAAAAAATGTTAGAAATTACAAATGTTGCTTTGGCAATTAACTGAAATCAAATAAAATGACTAAAACTAAACCTGAAATAATAAATTAAATATTTAAAATAAAAAACTAATACAAATGACAAAGCGCATAGCAAAGTTACTAAACCTTGAACTGAAATTAAAAGTAGAAGTTAATTATAAATAATAATAAATACTATGTTACATAAATAATAGTAAAATGAAACTGGTTACACTATATGATGTCATGTGACATTCATTTAAAATGAAAGTTTTACAAAATCATTTGAAACCAGCATGAATACTAAGAGCACTTTCACACTGGTAGTTTAGTTTGAAACGTGGAACGGTTTTCAGAAAAATAGGGGAACAATCTCTCTCCGACTCGGACCTCGGCAAACGTCACCAGTGTGAAAGCCTTCTTATGCCTGGTTCAGATTACATGATTTAAGCCCGATTTTGGCACGATCCGATTGATGTAGGGTGTCGTGGGGATTCGTAAACGACAACGGGCGTCGGGACGCAAGATTCGATGGTATCATCTCGTATAGTGTGTCATAGTGGGCAACAACCTACGTCGGGTCTGCGATGCTTCACGACATCACGACAAAAAGACTGGCATGTTTAATTTTTTTAATGGTCGTCCACGACGGTTCCGTCACATGTATGAGGTTGACCAATAGGAGCACAGAAGCTTTTCCGTACTCAACTTTCAAAAATGGCGAAACGAAAGAGAGATGATGGTGCTAACGTTAAAACTAAAAGTAAAAATATATAAGAAAACAATATTTTACCTCCTCAAGTTCTCTTTGGAGGGTTGACAGCCCATACTGTCCTCTTCGAGCAATCCAGGAACGTGTCCATAGAGTGCCGAACTTACGACGTCACTCTGTAGGCCAAAACGCGGAAGCGAGTTAGCATTTTAGCACTACCGGTTCTCTCGCTCTGAAATCTATGAGATTTTTGAACAGGTTTTTGCTAAATCGCTTGAAATAAGGTCTGTGGTGAACAGAGCCTCTAAATATTTTCACGTTTTGATCTTTGACATAGAACACACAGTTATAACCTGCTTGTGGTTTTTAAACTTTATTGTGTCTGATTGTGTTTTTTAAAATCTTTATATAGGCTTCAAAATACATTTTGGATTAACTTGTAAAGATTATCTTGCTAGACACAACGTGTAAGGGTCACAACCCTTTGTTAAACACAGATCTTATTTTTTGCGATTTTCCAAAAATCTATGGGGAAAATGCATACAGTAGCTTTTCGACTGAGGGAACCCATGCGCCGCTAGCTTCCGAGTTGCCCTACAAAGTGACGTCATCACTTCGGCACTCTATTGTCGCTTTTTCTTTTATACTTTTTTTCTGAACACAGGACAGCCAATACAACACTCACCGCTTCATCCATTGTTTGTTTACATTCGTTTCTGGAAGTCACTCGCTACTAGTTTCGCCTTCTCGATGACGGCACGCAACGACTGGTCAGGAAGCGACACAACAAGATTTTAGGAGTCAAAATCCCATAATCTTACACAGTGACTATCATCGTGTAATACGACAAAAAAAATCGTGTAATCTGAACCAGGCATTAGAGAACATTTCTAAGAAGTTGGCATATGCATGTGTGTGCAGGGCTGAACATTGGGCCAGTGGTCGCAGGAGTCATTGGAGCCAGGAAGCCCCAGTATGACATCTGGGGAAACACAGTAAACGTGGCCAGTCGGATGGACAGTACAGGGGTCCCGGACCAGATTCAGGTAAACCTTCAAGCCTGACGAGGCTCACAGCGTCTTGGTCATCCTGAGCGCGTCACATAGAAGTGATTTTGTGGTATTTTACAGGTGACCACAGACCTGCACCAGGTGTTGGCCAGTAAAGGTTACCAGCTGGAGTGTCGAGGGGTCGTAAAGGTGAAAGGCAAGGGTGAGATGACCACTTACTTCCTGAACAACGGACCTCCCAACAGTTAGCAGTTCACTAGAATTTCTTTGGATTCCCACAATTCCCCAGAGAGGAGGATTTCTCCAGGCAAGCTGAAGACAAACAAGTAGCCATCGCCATCACTTGAAGAAGAAAGAAAACAAACAAACAAGGAAGATGATTGAAAAAACAAACCAGACTCCACACTGGAGAGTCGTGGCGGTCGTGGATATGCCTGTGCACCTTGAAGGACGATTGTTTTTAAGCCTCTCCCTCAGGCTGCTTGAAAGATGCAAAGTCTGTTTATTTAATAAAGGCCTTTATTTGCCGAAGAAAAACGCTGTACATAAGGCATTTTCTCCAGTTTTATTTTTGTTTTTCCCCTGTTTTTTGTATTTCCGGAGAATATAAATACAGGTACTCATGTTTTCGTTCGGAATTCCTTATTTATTTTGATCTTGACGTTGTGTGCAAAAAGTCCTTTATGGAAAAAAGTTGGAAAACACATACACACTTATACCGTACATAAACGCGTACGCTTGTATATTTGTGTGTGCACGAATACAGTATCTGTATAAATTATAAAGAGAACTATTGACCAAAGACCAAAGTATTTCATAGAAAAGAAGTTTGCGGAAGTTTTGAATCTTATGTAATGCTCTGACGCCCTCATCCCTCGATTTCCCTGTTTTAAATCATGTTAAATCACACGGATTGACCAGCAACCTCTGTCACTGGCAGAGCGTTGTGCTCTGGATCTTATGAAGGATTGAATGATTTCATTTAAAGTCTTGCTTTTCCTTAAGAACGACAAATTCTAGATGGGAAAAGTGTGTGGAACATTTTTGTTTTTTTTGGGGGGGGAGTACGACCAGGTCTGGGCCTATAACGTCCTCAAGGAAGACTTCAGTTTAGTTTTGTTTGTTCCGTCAACCATTTCTTCTTTTTTCAAAGAAGTATTTTTGGTACAAAATGAAATAAAAGGAAAAAAAGAGTTTTTCGGAGGCATCTGGGGAAAAGCCACGGCATTGGATACCACGGTACAAGACAGTTTATCGAGATCCAATTCATTCTAGGAGGACTTTTTTTTAAAAATGAAAGAAATATATCTATAAATTATGACTGAATACTGTGCTTTGTAATCTCGAAGGGGCATAACTCTTTTCACTGTGAGGTTTCTATGATACGACTAGCTGCTTTCTTGCCAAACTAAACAGCTCAAAAGCATGTCTGATTGTGGTATCTTCTCTACGATTTTTTGTTTGTTTGATTCCCTTAAGTTTTAATGTTTGGGTATTTTGTATCACCTCTGTATCCGTTTTTATTCCTATTCTGGTTGTTCTTATCTGTTTGATTATGATTCACTTCCAGCTGAGGAGACCTGAATTGAGACGTCCTAGCAAGTTGGTACTAACTGATCAACTGTAATCAGTGACGACGTATGAACAATATTCCCTCCACTCCATCTCTTTAAGGAAAAAAACCACATGGCGAAAAACATAATTAAAACATATACACTTGAAATTCATTTAGATGTGCTATACTAAACAGTTGCTAGCCAGCTAATTGCTAACATAGAACCAATAGAGACGTACCGTACACTGCATGCCTGCAGTGCGCGAATTGCAGTGAATTTGCCTTAATTGAACAAACTTCAGTATATGATAACAGTGCCTCTTTAAATCAAAACCGCGCAATCCACCTGTTTGATGCAACCCATTACGGCAGCGTTTGTTAACTAGGTCACCTCTTTCAGCGAATTGACTTGCATGATGTCCAAAGCACTGTCTTTCTCCTGCTGTGTGTTCTTCACTTATCGAAAACTTGCTGTGATAGTAGCTTGGTCATTGCATGTCAGTTGGTCACGTTCGTACCAAAGGCAGGACGCCCCGTTGTTCCGTCCAGTATACATGTGCAATAAAAGCGTGCACGAATGGAGATTCAGCGTGAGGGAAGGAAACATACTATCTGTGAGCAAGCAGGAGTGTATTTTAGTACTACTGACTCTCACACTGGGGCCTCTGTCTAGATCAGGGCTGAACGACTCCTGATCGTCTCTTAATTTTTATTTACCTTTTTGTTCGTTTGTTTCATTTTTTACTTTAGTCGAAGGATTAGAAAAGGGACAAGCTTTTCAACTCTGCAAAGGAAAGTTAAGAAAAGACTCTTGAATATAGAAAAACTTTTCCCCTCAAAATAAAAAAAAAATATCTGTTTTATTTGTTTTTTTGGTGATTGCTTGTATTGTGGTTTTTGTTTAAAGGGATAGTTCACCCAAAAATTAATATTCTGTCATTTTTTTACTTTCATGATGTTTCAAACCCAGAGAGCAAACTGACATTGAATCAACGTGGAAACAACGTCTTTCATGACATTGAAACAACGTTGATTTTGCTCATCGAATTAACGTTGAACCAACGTCAGACGCGGCATTCTTCAAAGCTAAATGAAAATCGAAAATTGGTTTGCTTTCATAACGTTGAAACAACGCGTTGATTTCAAGTTGATTTTCCGTTAGTTTTGAAAGAATGACGCGTCTGACGTTGGTTCAACGTTAATTCGATGAGCAAAACAATGTCAGATCAACGTTGTTTCGATGTCATATTTCCACGTTGATTCAATGTCAGTTTGCTATCTGGGAACCCGTTTCGACTTTCGTTCATCTTCGTAACATAGATGAAGATCTCTGTAATGAAATCTGAGATATTTCTGTTTCTCCATTGACAGTCTATGCAACTACCGCTTCGACGCTTCAAAAAGTTCATAAAGAGATTGTTAAACGAATCTATATGAATTGACTGGTTTAGTTTGGATTTTCTGAAGACATGATTGCTTTTGTATGATAAACAGATTGAATTTAGGTTTTTATTCACCTATAAATATTGATCAGTGAACATAAACACAAGCTCAAACGTGCTGCGTAACACGAGAATGAACCTCATTGGCTCTTTCTGAAGCTCAAACGTGCTGCGTAACACGAGAATGAACCTCGTTGGCTCTTTCTGAAGCTCAAACGTGCTGCGTAACACCAGAATGAACCTCATTGGCTCTTTCTGAAGATCAAACGTGCTGCGTAACACGAGAATGAACCTCATTGGCTCTTTCTGAAGCTCAAACGTGCTGCGTAACATTAGAATGAACCTCATTGGTTCTTGCTGAAGCTCAAACGTGCTGCGTAACACGAGAATGAACCTCATTGGCTCTTGGATTTCATTCAAAAATATCTGAATTTGAGTTCCGAAGATGAACAAAAGCCTTACAGGTTTGGAACGGCATGACAGCGATTAAATTATGACACAATTTTCTTTGACGGAATAGTTTTTTGGGTAACCTTTAAATCCCTTTGTTTTGGTATATTTTAATCATTATATTTGAGTGACCAAAATGATGCATCATTTGAAGGGTTTTAGCCACCTCAAATTATTTATAGGCACATTGTACATTTTACCAGTTTTATCACGATTATTGGGTGAAAATGGGAAATATTTACATATTACACCTAAAGGATTATTAGGAACACCATATTAATACTGTGATTGACCTCCTTTCGCCCTTCAGAACTGCCTTAATTCTACGTGGCATTGATTCAACAAGGTGCTGAAAGCATTCTTTAGAAATGTTGGCCCATATTGATAGGATAGCATCTTGCAGTTGATGGAGATTTGTGGGATGCACATCCAGGGCATGAAGCTCCCGTTCCACCACATCCCAAAGATGCTCTATTGAGTTGAGATCTGGTGACTGTGGGGGCCATTTTAGTACAGTCAACTCATTGTCATGTTCAAGAAATTCACAGTTTTTAATGGCATGCTAAAAGTTACCGTTGACTCGTGCTAGCCTATAGCACCGGTGAAAACTGTCTCCACTAATTAATAACACTAAGGCTCTCTTAGAAATGAGGCCCGATGTCCAAAATTCTGCAACACATTTCTCATCGTTCTGCCATTTTCTCCTCTGCTAAATAAACTCTTAAGCCTCTTAAAAGTCCTCATCTGTACTCCTAACAATTGTGACGTTAAGACCTCTTTTAAGGGTTAAGATACTCTCTGAATTATTTTTTCTTTAATTTTAAGAGTAAATGCCCACATTTCTAAGAATTTTCTTAGAATTTTGTCCCTATGAGCTTCTCTTTGCATTAAGATTCTTTTATGAATACGGGCCCAGGAGATTGTCTTGACCAGGACCACACCCAGGGACGTGCACAGGGGGGTTGCTCAGGTTGCCCGGGCAACTGCCCATATGCCCTTCTCGACCCAGGTTGCCCTTCCGAGGAAAAAAAAAATCGTACAATGGATGTACAATTTCACGTAGGCCTAGACAAAAAAAAATAAAATAAATAATAATATAAAAATCGCAAAGCCTCATTCACTTCCATTCGGGCACTGAAAGTGAAAGTCAAACTGTTTACGTGGCTGCAGTGCCGCACGCGTGGTAAGGCACCGCAAATTACTCAGGCCGCACGTCCATCTCTTGTCGCGCGCTAATTAATGTGTACGAAGTCCATGACAAAATGAAGCGAAACTATCCTTCTCGTCACGAAAAGAGGAAGAAGAAAAACATGAAAGTGAATTGCGGAAACAGCAGTCAGGTAAACTTGTGTTCTCTCCTCTCTAGGTTTGATGTCAGCAAAGTTTGATGGTTTTTGGTCTTGCTAACCTATCTGGGCAGACAGTGCATCTCTTGCATCACTTTTTGCCTGACAAATGTGAGAGTAAAATACCATTATTTATTACGTTTTGTTTTTGATAAACGACAAAGTGCAACAACAGTGTTTGTTTACTGCAGCTCGGAAAACATAACCGCGTCGCGTGTGTTGCGTTCATATGCGCGTGCACGAAATGAAACTCGTATTTTTCAAGCAGAAATGTGGAGACCAGAAATACTGTACAATACGTGAATGATGGCACTCCCAATCAAAGTACACATTTTAAAGACACTGATTATCTAGTCTCAGTAAAAACTCTAAACAATTGCACTAATTATGCAAGATAGAAACCAATGTATTGGCAATTTGACATTGATTGACTATTGATTTATTGGCTATATTGAATTTAAAATGATGATTAGCTGGCCATTCGGTCAATATGAATGCAAATTCCTCAGTAAATAACCATAAATCAAGATTTGCTTTAACATGCATAATTTTTTTTTTAAATATAAAAAAAATCATAGGCTACTGATTCCGAAAATACCCAGGCTGTAGAGTGAACCAAAGTTAATCCCAAAAGCCAAATTTCAGGGTTGTACTTTATTATTTTCTTCTTATTTATGTTTACGTTAATATTCACTTGTTATCTTAACATTTTATAAAAATGCTTTATTCAGTAAATATTTTTTGTTTGAACCTCATTCTGTTCTATAGACCATTTTGCAAGATGTAAACAACACTGGTCCAGAAGCACGTCCTGTTTCAGTTTTTTAAAACTACATAAAAGCTGGGATAAAATACAACCAACAGAACATGTAAAACTGAATCAAAAAGTTAAACAACATCTTTAAGATGTTTTCTTTACATGTGAAATAAAGAAAACATTTACAAACTGAAACAGGAAGTGTTTCTGGACCAGTGTTGTTTACATCTTGCAAAATGGTCTATATTGTTGTACTTATTCTTTGACTATATTTTGTTTTAAGGAGGGAGGATTGTATTGGGCGGTATTGAGTGGCAATGGCAAATGGTTTACATGGCTCACGGCATCACAGATCAGGTAGAGGGCCCCTTAGCAGAATTTTGCTTAGGGCCCCAGGGGGAGGTCAGGATTGGCAAAAAAGGATTGTATTTTTTCCCGAAATCTAAGCGTTTTTTAAATTTTTTCGAGTTTTTCCTTTCAATCCAGATTATTTCTTTTCAAATAAATAAATAATAATAATTTAAAAAACAATAAACAACAATATGAGGAACTCTTTTGCTCATTTGTCTCATCTCTGACATTTTGCAATCTTTATAAATAATAATAAGACCATAAGATGAGGCATTGCGTTTGGAATTTGGAAGGGGACAAATTCAACGGAATATATTCCTTCATATAGCCCGTGAGGGGGGAGGAGGGGAGGGGGGGGGTGCCCTTTTTTCAGGTCAGAGCAACTGCCCCTCAAAATTCCTGTGCACGTCCCTGACCACACCCCTAAATGCATTGAGGCAACTGCAAATGTGATTGGTTGATTAGATAAATGCATTAATGAGAAATTGAACAGGTGTTCCTAATCCTTTAGATGAGTGTATATATGTAATTTGTTTTCAATTAATGACAGTGACTTCAATAATCAAACTAATATCACTAGTAGCTTCAATGACTTCAATTATTAACTTCAATAATCGAACGGATTGATTTCATCTTGAAACTTTACCTGTAAATAAATAGAGATGCCTTGGAAATAGTAAATATTTTATACATTGGGTGAGTTGAACCATTTATTAATTCAAATGCCAATGCTAAAGGTAACTTAACATCTAATCCTAGATCAGTTATTTCAGCATTTTAGTCCATTTCTGATAAAATGAAAGAAGAAACAAAACATTAAGGGGTCTTCAAAAAAACTTATTCAAAAAATAATTTAAAGTTTAGTCAAAATTATTTCATTGTTTAATTAATACTGGATTTTGCCGCCATTATACAGGTATATGCAAAGAATAACATCTAGCACATACAGTATGGGACTAAATTACACTAAATTCTCAAAACAATATGGCAATGTTACATTTGCATATCCTCAGCACCTCTTGTTCAGCAAGGCAACGTGACACACTGTAGTGTTGAAGCATTATGGGATAGTGATCAATGATCATTATAGTTTCATGGATCAGGGATCAAAACAAGCTGAAGTCTGGGTAGGTCATTGACATCTCATTCACAAACCTGAGAAAATCAATGAAATACATGTATTAAAGCATGACACACTTATTTGCTGAAACACATTGGCCTACACAGAGTTTGGTTCATAGCTTAAGATTCATCATACTTTGTCATTTCGCTGTTTTTTCGTGGGAAGTGACGGGTTCGAGTCCAAGGCTCCTGGTTCTTCACGCCTCCAGTGGGAACCCACCAACCATACTGCTGGTTGTCCGTCACAGGTACACGATACAGTTCTTTAGGAGCTGAAAGGGAAACAAGATCTCATCAGTGACCACCAAGAAAGATTTAAAGCAGGGCTGCGTTTGAGTGAGAATTATAGTATAGTTTTAGATTTTGATTTGATTCCCATCTTGATTTCAAATGTTGATTCATTTCAATATACTGTATTATTTCAGGTACAGTACATGTTATTTTTTCTTCTCAAGGAAAAACGTCCTTGAGAAATATCAAGAAATATCAAATATCATTAAATATCAAGAATATCCTCCTATATTCTTGATATTTAATGCCACATTATTCTCTCATTCAACACAACACAACACATTAAATCAACAAATACAGACTATGACCATTTAAAAAAATGTATTCATAAATGGAAAGCCATTGAAGCTATCTTGTCTTTGCGAGGAACTCCACCACTCCTTTAATATGATAAATTCTTATATGAACTTGTCTTTCAATCTCTCTTGCTTTGAGATCCTTTATATTCTTTGACCAAACAATAGGAGATCTGATGACACATTGAACTGACAATGAAAGCGTATTCACCTTAGCGTTATGGCTATATCTCTGTACCTCCGACTGTAACTGATTATATGCAAAAGGAGGTAATTTTGCATATAATCAGTCATGTTAGAATATATATATATATATATATATATATATATATATATAAAATGATAAATTGATAAAAAAGTGAAATTGCTAAAAATATAATTTAACTTTTTCAGCTTAATTGTTCATTTTGAATAGATTTAAAGGAGGCTCTTGGACTGGACTTCCTTGCCTCTTTTTTGATATTTTGATAATTGGACAATCAGCTTCCAGGTTTGCATACGTTTACTCAACTCATCTATTCCATTTCTCTGTCTTTCTTTTTACAGAAAGTTTTGCAGTATTGTTCAGTTCTTTAGATCATCCAATATCAAAATGAGTATGTCAACCTTTCACATCGAGAGTGTAGAGCAGTCCTTGTGAACTCTCCTGAACTCTCAGATGAGCTTGCCATGGCCCTTGCAGCAGGGGAGTGGTGGACAATCATGGAGGTTTCCAGACCAATCTCTGAGGAGCCAGAGTATTGGGAACTCGCCTCAGGACTGTGGTGGGGACCACTTGAGTCAAGAGAAACTCCATACCCCACATCCTTGTGCCCCACACCACCTGTGCCCAAGTCTCAAGACTGGCGAAAACAACATTTCTCTGAGCCTCTTGAGCAGGAGCAGCAGAAGGAGAGAAAGTGGAGGCAGAAAAGAGTTTTTGAACTCTTCCCTGAACTGAAATGTAGTATTGGGCTGTATTTCCACACGACTGACATCAGGTTCAAGCACACACAAGCCTGCGCGAGTGCGACTCACTCGTGTACTGCAGTTTGGCTGGTGGTAACGTTGCCCGCCTGCATACCGCCTCCCATGGCCGGAACTGGTATTACGACACCTGCCGGGCCGGGGCTAGTAATTTAGCATGCTAATTTAGGTTTATATCTCGGCAGCACTATAACTTGTCAGTTTTTTAATTACATCATTGCACTTATTTCTTCTCATTCTTTTGTTGCGTGTAGCTCATTTTTTGGATATTTTTACCTCAATTATTACAGATGGCACCTTTAACACAGCAAAATGTAGAGACCATAATGCATTTAGGTGAGTGGACAGAGGCAAATAATGAATGAACACAGAAAGAATGGTTGGATGAATCAAACAATTTATAGTCACCAGGAAATAATATTTGAAGAGTTCAGATGCAAAAGCCTCTAAGTGCCATTTGAAATTTTCTTCCAAAATTATCATTTTTATCAAGCTTTTATATTTAAGTTCAGTAATTTCACTTAAATGAAGATTACCTATTAATTGTCATTTAAGTGAAATTACTGAACTTAAATACACAAGCTTGATAAAAATGGTCATTCTAGAACAAAATTTCAAATGGCATTTAGAGGCTTTTGCATCTGAACTCTTCATTTTATCTAATAATTTAACCCATTGTACTGTATAAATTGACTGATGTATGTTCACTAGTGTAAGCCACTATAAAAATTAATTATATTAAGTAAATTTGTGTCATGCAAGGTTTATGCAAACAACAAATAAAGGCCTACATAACCTGTTGACATTCTCTTATAGCAGGAAATCATGTTTTATTTTTATTTCCATTTTATTTTATGTTTTATTGTACGGAGCAACGGAGTATATAGGATTGCGGTGATCACTCTTTTTTTTTACCTTTGTTCATTGTTGTTTATCCATGGTTTCAAAAAGACCCCCCCCCCCCCATTAGCCCAAATAAGTAACTACTTGAGCACTATTTAAAGCCCAAATTATGTAAAATAACGAATTGAGTTTAAATCATTGCTGACAGCTTGCCAATATTGAAGGAAGTGATTGTAGGTTTTTAATGATTATATCTTCTCAATGTGAATTTTGTGACTGTTTTAGAGCACATACATAGCCTATAAATAACAGTAAGGCAAACATGTTCACAACTTCACACTAAAAAGCCCAAAAAAAAAAAACTCATTGATTTTATGAGGACTTTAAGACTATTAAAAATTCCATAATGCACACGAACAAATCTGAACATGATAACTTATATGGTATTGTATATCATTAACTTCTCTGTTTTGAGAAAGCATAAGTTAATTGAACTAGCTGTTAGCCAACACAAAATCTCTCTTTGGTTAGTAATAAATGCAGTATGGGTGTTTGATGTAACGTTAGCTATGAACTTACACCCCCGAACGCTTCTGATATCCTGATATCTGCTCTGGCTGCCAAGACGCAGGTCCGATGAGTCTGAAGGGAAAAACCAAACATACTGGACTACTATATGTAACGTTAGACAGATGTGCTAAAGATGCGCAGCCCCTGCATTTAAGTCGAACCAAAGCAGCCATACCTCGCGTATCTAGTTTGTTTTGGGCAGATGGTAACATCCTGTCCCCAACAGGGTTCTGATAGCCCAGATATGTGATTCCGAAGAAAGCCATAATCAAAGCGGTGTAGTACTAAGTTTAACGTTAACGTTACCCCAACAAGAGCAGAACGAGCTGAACTGAACGAGCACCGAAAAGAGTCCAGCACGAGCTTCACGCGTTAATGTTTAATGTGTTGTCATGGTTACTTGCACACTGCCTCTCATTTCCTGTTCATTCATCAGCACGTTTGGTTAAAAACGAATGCTCAAAACAGAGTTAGATTTAATTACAGTCAAATTCACAGCCATAAACACGTTTCAAGCTTCCTAAATATCACCTCCGTCCACTTAGTTCAAGGTTCTTTAGTTAACAACTTTGTTTAGAAAATAAACCGGTTAAATGGTTCAATGAGATGCACCTGGCATGAGAGATCTTACTGCTAGAAAAAATATCAATAGCTTACGAGACATTTTCACAATGTCTACCGTATAGGCTAACGTTACAATTGGAAAGTGGTTTCAACGAGTCCACTTTAGTGCAGGACTGCAGGTAAGTAACGTTAGGCCTTGTGATATAGTTGTTTGAACCACATCACTTCTTTTCGTGAAATATATTTTTCATACAAATGAAAGAAATGTTTGAGTTCTCATTAATAGATGTGATTATTGGCTTCTTTTAAAGCCCCTGATAGGAAGCTGATAAATTCTCAAAATTCTCATATGGCTTTCTCTTGTTTGGCTGGTTCTTTTACAAATATCAGCTATTGTTAGACTTCCACATTTGGTCGTCTTTTTAATATATACATTTTTATATCTACTCATGTTTATTTGTGATACCAAAATGTTATTAATGGGAGAGTTCTGTGGTTCAGAATCAGCACAGACAGAGACCGTGGTACTTTTGTTGTTTGGAAATTGGAAGTTGCATGCAGCGTGAAGCTGAAAATTTGATGACGAATGAGAACAATTGATCATTGATCAATTGAACAATTTGTATGTGTCCATCTGCTTTAACAAGATATCCAGTATCCAAGTGCTTCAATGGCAGTGCCGAAAAATAAATACATAAAATTAACTGCTAGTAGGCCAAAAGTTAAATGTATCCTTAAATAGTCATGTTAGGTGACAAAGTAATTGAAATATCCCATATTTCCTTCATACAAATTAATTTATAATTAGGAAAATGCTAAATGTTGTATAACATGTCACACTGAGGCACACTGTTGTCAATGATCTTCTAAAATTGTAAACGTTCTGGTACCACAACAAATGAACAAATTTCTTGTTGAACCAGAATTTGTGATCCAGTGTGGTTTGTTTTCATACAGGATGCGTGTACGAAATCCTCAATGTGCTCTACACATAAATCTGAGCTTCTTGGGACTGATCCTTTTAATCACCATTCTATGGGCAATACAGCTGGATCTAGTGGGGTGGAGGTCTGTCAGCAGGTTTCAAAGCCATTCCCTAAAGCCAAGATACAGAGGCAGTGTGGGTTTGAATTCCAGTAGCACTTGGCATTTTCGAAACAATGCCTCTGCAGCACAATTTAAATGGGCTTCAGCATTATCTGGAGATGCCAGCTGTCCCTCTGGGTTCTATAGCATGAAGGAGCTCAAGCCTCGCATACCGAGACCTCAGGAGGATCCTGAAGGACCAGGAGCGGATGGAAACCCCTTCATAACAGGCATCCTGACTCGTGTGGAGTTGACGGAGAAGCAGGAGGGTCTTTCTAGAAACGGCTTCAACCAGTTTGCCAGTGACCGCATCTCCATCCACCGTAGTCTTGGTGTCGACACGCGGCCCTCTGAGTGAGTATCATAAGAGGCAGACTGTGTAAAATTGACCTTTTGAATATTCTAGATTAATTCCAAATATCTAATCCAATTCTCTGTTGCTCTTTTAAGATGCATTGAGAAAAAGTTCAGCAGATGTCCACGGTTACCCATTACCAGTGTGATAATTGTGTTCCACAATGAGGCTTGGTCAACTCTCCTCCGCACCATCTTCAGTGTCTTGCATACATCACCTGCTGTCTTACTTAAAGAAATCATTCTGGTGGATGATGCAAGTACTCGAGGTGAGTTAAGGCAAAGATACCTTGCATTTTTAGGTCATGTGTTAACAAGATTGGCAATAAAACAAGCACAAAATTCCATGGACTTACTTTGAAGAAGTGCCCAAGCCATATCTTGAGACTCTTCTGACTTGAGCCAGTAAGAAACTTCCCAGAACACCCTAGTCGCAAAACCTTAGCAGTCACCTTGGACATTTTTGCAACCATTCAGGGCACACCAGTAACAACTTATCAACCACCTAAAACACCCAATCAACACGTTAACAGCCACCCAAGAAAATGGCAGTGCCATAGCAACCACCCAAGACACACTAGTAACACCTTGACAGCTACCCGCAACACCTTATGGCGCTTTTCCACTGCATAGTACGGTACGGTTCGGTTCGGTACGGCTCACTTGTGGTGCTTTTCCACTGCATGGTACGGTAAAGTACGGTTCGCTTCGGGTCGCTTTAAATGGTACCTGGTCTGTTGAGGTTCCAAGCGTACCGTACCGGTACTAAAATGTGACGTGAAACACGGCAGATCACTGATTGGTCAGATAGAATCGTCACTACCAGCGTCACTACTAGTGTCATTGGATTTGCGACACGAGACACTTTTTTAGCAGTATTTTGTTTTGCTGCCATCAGCCTCATTTTAAACACATTTTTCTCTCTAGCAGTTAAAAACAACCACATACCGAGAATCAGGAACACCATCCCCTCGATAGTCTCCATTGTTCCTGTGTTGTGGGTTTGAAAATGTGGCGCTTTTAAGATGATGTCATGGCAGTAGGAGGCGCGCGCAAATAACGATCAGTCCCACACACTTTGAAGGGGTACTACTGCAGTGGAAAAGCAACCGAGCTAAGCGAACCGAACCGATCCGCACCGAGTCGAGTCGTACCACGCAGTGGAAACGCAAAGCGAGCCGAACTGTTCCGCACCGAGTCGAAGCGTACTGAACAGAACCGTACCGTACTATGCAGTGGAAAAGCGCCATTAGTCACAACCCAAGACCCTAGTAACACCTTGGTAACCACTCAGAACACAATGGCAGCATCTTAGCAATTCAATTCACATTTATTTGTATAGCACTTTTCACAATGCATACTATCTCAAAGCAGCTTGACAGCAACAGCTTAACAGCCTCCCAAAAGAAAATGGCAAGACCTTAGCAAACACCTAGAAAACCATGGCAATGCCTTAGCAACCACCCAAAGCACACCAGTAACACATTGATAACCACCCAAAACACAGAAGTAACACCTTAACCTCCCAGAACAACATGGAAAGACCTTAGCAATCACCCAAGAAACACTAGAAATGGCCTATCAACACCTTTCAGAACATTCCAGCAATCACCTAGCAACACTTTATCAACCACTTAGAACAGACACTCTAGTAACATCTAAGCAATCACCCAGAAAACCCTAGCAAAATCGTAGCAACACCTTGTCAACCAATAAACATACAGTACTATGTGTTAAAACGCTATCTTATTCAAATGTGAAAATCTAGTAAAAAACCGTTTATATCTTTGATTTGAAATCTTGTAGATTAAGGCAGTTTTTTATTTCAGATCATCTCAAAGCCCCGCTAGAACAGTATGTGCAGTCTCTTGAGATTGTGCGTGTCCTGAGGCAGCGTGAGAGGAAAGGTTTAATTGCTGCCAGACTCTTGGGTGCACGTGAGGCTGGAGGAGAAGTGCTTGCCTTCCTGGACTCCCACTGTGAGTACATAACTATCTGGGACTTTATAGAGAGAAGTGCATCACAACCTTTGTCTTTCACAGAAACTGAATTGACTGGATTTGTTAAAGTAGACATATTAGTCAAATTATAATCTGATTTTTAAAGTGTGTTTTCCCAGGTGAGTGTTTCTATGGTTGGTTGGAGCCCCTGTTGGAACGGTTAATTCAGGAACCTACCGCAGTTGTGAGCCCAAGCATTGCTGTCATCAACAAGGACAATCTGAAGTTTATAAAGCCAGTGCCGTCAGGCCTCACACATAACCGAGGGAAATTTAACTGGATCCTGAATTTTGGCTGGGAGACTATACCTGAAAAAGAGATGGTGAAACGCAAAGATGAAACCTATCCAGTCAGGCAAATGATACACACACACACAAACACACAGAGAGACGTTGAGTTTCCATTTTATATGGTGACATTCCGTAGACAATTATTTTTATTCTGTACAAACTGTATACCCCAACCCCAAAACTACCCATCATAGAAAACTTTCTGCATTTTTACATTTTTTAAAAACATCACAGTATAATTTATAAGCAGTTTTCCTCATGGGGACAAAAAAAAAAAAAAAAAAAGGAAAAACACTTTTTTTTTCTTATTAACGCACATCAGTTTAAATTGCATTTATACCACTGCTGCATGAGACACCAATTTTCATGCAGTTCCATTTTTCGTCCAGGACACCTGCTATTGCCGGAGGACTTTTTGCCATTTACAAGCAGTTCTTTGAACACATTGGTACCTATGATGACAAGATGGAGTTTTGGGGAGGAGAGAACATAGAAATGTCATTTAGGGTAAGACTCTCCCGCATGTTTTTATCTTTCGCATCCTTTAACAGCGTCATTTACTCCAGTCTTCAGTGTCACATGATCCTTCAGAAATCATTCAAGTGAACTTTTGTTAACATGTATCATGAAATTAGTAGGGCTGTGCAAAAATTAATTGCGATTAATCGCATCCAAAATAAAAGTCTGTGTTTACATAATATATTTGTGTGTGCTGTATATAAATACACACACATGCATGTATATATTTAAGAAAATGTGTTATTAATATTTAAAATATTTATATTTATATAATTTAGATTATATATATATATATATACAGAATTTAAGCGCAAATAATTCTTAAATATATACATGCATGCATAGGTATTTATATATACAAAATAATTATATACAGCACACACAAATATATTATGTAAACACAGACTTTTATTTTGGATGCGATTAATCACAATTAATTTTTGCACAGCCCGAAAAATTATACAATTTTGTCTAAATTAATTTTTTTCATTTTATAAATGAAATAAAATTACAATATATGTATATATACACATTCTGTGTAATAAAATAACATGGGGAAACAACATATAATACAATATATAATTAATAATGAATTACAAATATCTCAACTAACTAAAATAAAAAAAAGTACTAAAATGACTAAATCTAAAGCTAAAATAAAAATAAATGAAAGCTAAATTTAAAATTAAATGGCACAAGCACATAACGATTATGATTCCAGCCTGTGTTCGCCTGGTGCTTGTACTTTTATGTTACTTCCTGTTCCACTCAATGTTTTGTAGTCCTTTGTAGTTTTTTGTTGTTGTTGTTTTTGTTCTGTGATTGTGTGTCTCGTTTGTCTAGTATTTATACACCAGTGTTTCTTATATCCCTTGTCGAGTCTAGTCCTACCTGGATGAATGTTTGGTGCTGCTCATTCTGTCACCTTGTTTTTTAATTCACCTGCATTACAATTTCAAAAACAAAAATGAAATTGAAATGAACGACACACATTATGCATTGGCTCTACCAGGTATGGCTGTGTGGAGGTCGTCTAGAGATCATTCCCTGTTCTGTGGTCGGCCACATCTTCCGCACCAAAAGTCCGCATACCTTCCCAAAAGGCATGGATGTGATCATAATCAACCAGGTTCGCCTCGCTGAGGTCTGGATGGATGATTACAAGAAGATTTTCTACAACAGAAATAAGAAAGCTGCTGCCTTTGAAGCAAAGGTGAGAGAAGTGGATAATGTGTGTAATATTTTTAATTGATTGCAAAATAAGTCTTATTTGTAAATCTTAAATTTTCTCTTTTACCTTTGAGGAGCACAGAAATCATACGGGGACATAAAGGAACGCCTGAAGCTCAAAGAGCAGTTACATTGCAAAAATTTCTCCTGGTATCTAGACAACATTTACCCAGAGTTCTTTGTGCCTGATTTGAACCCTGTGTTATTTGGATCGGTAATTCAGTGTTATAGTTTGATCGTTTATTGCAGTAATAATTTGATAATTTATAGTAATATACATGTGCTTATTGTGTCTGTAGTTGAAGAACATTGCCACAAAAACTTGTCTTGATATTGGTAAGAAGAATCCTGGAGGGAAGGCGGTGGTTTTATTCATTTGCCACAACATGGGACTAAATCAGGTATTCTAATGACCACTGCTGTCATCCTCACATTATAATAATTGGCCATTTACTTAATTGGTTCCATAAATAAAATAAAAAAAATTACACTGAATTTGAACCACTCATAAACATGAAAACGTGGCCACCGTAAACAGAACCACACTGCTTTTTCTGTGTTATTTTATCTTTGTAGTATTTTGAGTACACGTCGCATCAGGAGCTGAGGCATAATATTGATAGGCAGCTATGTCTGCATGCAACGATCGAGCCCAAACCTGTGCGAGTGGAGCTGTGCAACTTTCAGGGTAATGAAACAGTCCCAGCTCCACAGCAGAAGTGGAGTTTCAGTCTTGTTTCCCAACAGGTATAGTACACATCAATATCCCGACTACCCTTTTCCCGTGTGACTTGTGCAGAAAAATGAATCTATCATTGCTCAAACTTTTCATTGTTTTAGAGATTTTAATTTGTTTTTTGTTTATCTTGCCTTATACATTTGCAATTGTTTGCAGATATATCTTCTCCACAGTGATCTGTTTAATAAGTGTTTAACGGTGGAGTATGGCAAGATCGTCATGAAAAGCTGTGACCCTGCCAACAACTATCAGCATTGGTCTTTCATCTGATCTGTGTCCTCAGATGACCTGATTCTCTTTAAGAATATTACACCAAATAGAAGTGCTTGCTTGAATGAACAGTTGCACAAATGTTTCATCATGTTGTGAATTAATTAAAGTTGTTAATATAATAATGCAGTGCACACGTTTATTTTGTTTATCACATTAAACTCTTCAGTTGCTATCCAATGTATTTATTATTACATGAAAGCTCATGAATTAAAGATAAATACTTTTTGTAAACAAGGTGTAGAGTGATTTGTGTTCTGAAGTGGATTTGTGAGCACTTAGTGATAGTTTACCCCAAAAGGAAAACAATTACTCCCCCTCAAGTTGTTCCAAACCTGTATGAGTTGTTTTCTTCTGCTGAACACAAATGATGATTTTAAAGGATGTTAGTGATCATCTCTTCCATGAGCACTGAACATAATAATAATAATAATAATAATAATAAAAATCCTTATCCTTTAAATCCTTGCTTATCTGTCTTATGCTACTCTGGCTGGCAGTGTCTGAACTTTGTATTTTGAGCACTTCTTGCATTGTTTTTGCCTCTTCACGATGTTTAGTCCTCGGTTGTAAGTCGCTTTGGATAAAAGCTTCGACGCTACATGTAAATGTAATCAAACAGTTGACTGTAGCCATTGAATTCCACGGTATGTTTTTCTTTTCTGTTCAGCAGAAGAAAGACTGTCAGGTTTGGAACAACTTGAGGGTGAGAACATGATAATTTTCATTTTTCGGGGCACTAATCCAATCGAAGATGACGTACATCAACACAAGGTGGCGCTAATGCTATAGAGTTTCTAGTAACCCAAAATGCTGTTTGCTCTCCGTTTGTTAACGCAATAAATGATAATAAATCTTAACGTTATACTAAATATGACTAATCGACGCATGTATTTTTTTTATTTGTTTGTTATGAATCTGCAATGTCATGCTGACATTCTTTTTAGACTGTACATTACTTTTTTTCTAGCTCTTATCAGCAGGACCAAGCGCGCTCGCCATTGCAGCGTTCAGCTGTCAATCACCACTGTTATTGGTTCGTCGTCCACATGGCCCCGCCCACCTCCATTTTCTGCAGCGCTGTTGCGCGGGTGACGTTACATGCTCGAGCAGTGATGGGCAGTCGAGCGAGCGCTGGTGAGTTCCTCTCTAAACCAATAAAATCACTGAGTCCCGCCGTGTCGTTTTAACAGGGAAGAAGGAAACTGTCTTTTAAAAATGTCACTGCAGTCGCTAATGTAATGTAATCTCTATGCGCATACACAACGAACCTGCTACAACTCTGTAAGTTTAGCTTTCGAATTCTGGTATTTTTGTTTTGTAAAGACAACTAAATGTAAGTACCACGTTGTTATGCAGTGTGTGAGTGTGTGTTAGGTTCTGCTGTTTACTAACGTCAGCAGCTCTAACCACAACTAACCAACTTTGCCTTACAGCAGTTAATTTTAAATTAATTCTAGATGACCGTATGTTTAAAGCATTTGTTGTGAATGTGATGCTTTGACTGGAATAACAGCTTGCTACTGATTTCAAGCAGTGTCAGGCTGAGCCCTGTTAAATAAGGGATTGTGCTAATAACATTATGGTAAGTTGTGTGTGTGTGTGTGTGTGTGAGAGTGTGTTGGTTGTGAGAGCTTGTGTTTTTGTGTCAGTTTATACCTTTTATCTTTCCTGTATGCCACAGAGAGAGCACACACTACAGTCCCTGAACACAGTGGTAGGACTATGTGTTTATCATCCCAATACAAATAGCTATGTGTGATGTGACTTGTCAATTATTAGACTAGTCTATTGTTAGAACACCTATAGTCAGTGTGTGTACGTCTAGCCTCGAATTGACTCGACATTGGAAAAAATGTTGCATTTGAAATACAATAGCAAATGCAAACCATTTTCTTAGAGTATATTCTTCCAGGGGGCGTTCACTGTAGGTCCAGTTTTCATATTCAGGCCATTAGTAAAAAACACAAAGCACTGTGTCATTTGTTGATATTGTGTTTAATGTTTGTTGACTCTGTGCTTTGTGTTTGGCAGCTTTAGACAAAGTGCTTTGGAGAACACCTTTAGCGTGGGAATCTGTGTGCCTGTAGTGTTGCACCAATTTATTTATTAATTTAACAAGTTCGAGGTTGGTGATTCATGGACATGTTACTTCATTGTTTGTCCAAACAATCCTTCAATTGTCTAATACCTTTTCTATACTACTAAAAAAAATTGGGCATTGAGAAAATAATGTATAAAAGTGTTCTTTTGTTGTCATCAAATTGTTTTATGTACTGTATTAATCAACATTATATCTGCCATCTTGATCTCTATCTCTCATTTAGGTAAATAATTGCCCTGACAAAATTTCACCACAAAATATTTAGGCTATATAATATGTATAACCTATTTTTCTAAACATGTTTTTTGTTATTTGTCATGAAAAAAAAAACTTAAAAATACAATACAAAAATACGAATTGAACCAAAATAAGATAAAAACAAAATCATGAATGAGTGAATGAGAAAGAACCCCCCCCCCCCCCCCACACACACACACACAAAAAAACTTGCTAATATTAAATTAAAAAACCTTGAGCCAATATTACTTCAGTAAGAAGCAAAAACAACACACATCTTCTAAAGCCCAGGATAAAGGAAAAAAAATAATTTTCATTCACCTCTTCATGTAGCCTAACTGCTTGCTCCTCAAACAGTATACTGGTAAATAAACCAAATATTCAGTGAAAAGAAATGCTTATTCAAATATAAATTCTCCCTTAAATAAGATCTCTTGTAAATTGGTTGGTAGATGCAACATAACCGGCCCCCACGTCTGTCCAACAATTGCTTTTTTTAATAGAAATTGTTTTTAAATTTGCAATTATAGGTGGAAATTAAACATCTTTAATATAACTACAGACAGCAGTAAATTCATAAACACTTTTTTTTTATCTGACTGTATGAACATAAGCACAACATGTGGTTGATCTCCTGCACTTTAATCTTTTCCAGACCTCTTAGCAAACAAGATGAGCACCCTTCCCCTGTCACGCTCAGAAGTGTTTGGGCAACTGAGGAAAGAGCTACACGACGATGTAGAGTTTCACCAGTCCGATGTGCATATCTTCATCATCATGGGTGCTTCGGTGAGTCCCAGTGTGGAATATTTTAATATCTCTGTCTCTTCTAATACAGGCTCGGATTCTCACTCATTTTGAACACGTTGCAAATATAGATGAAAAACCAAAAATTTGTGAATTCATGTTTTTGGTACGCTTTTTGAAAGTTTATTTTACAGTGAATACATTTGCATTCACCACAGTGTTCTGATTCAGTATTGTGTTTATTGATGTAATCATGTAAAACGGTGCACTCCAGTCGCCCGGTTTAAGATGATATTCCGATTCCACAAATTCCCATTCCCTAGAATATTCAATTCAAATTAATTTATATAGCGCTTTTCACAATATATATTGTTTCAAAGCAGCTTTCCCTTAGACCTCATCGGACGACAGTCATCGCACTGGCAGATGGCAGGTGAATCATGAGGGTCTTTTAGCAGGTGGTTATTTGGGCTGAGGGCTCAGCTCAATGAGGTTTCCAGCGGTCTCTGCCATGGTCCCATCTTTCCGGGTCTTGCATCTCCTGTACAAGATGAAGGCCACACCCAGTGTCAGGATGTGGCTGACTACCATAGAGATGCACAGCTCCGTGTCAGCTTCAGGTCAAGGCTTGGACAACAGGTGAGGTAGTCACCTGAGTACCTGTCACAAAGCTTGGAGGGTGGTGTCGATAGGAGCAATGTCAATTAGCTGGGACCCCCCTTTCTCAATTCCCAGTTCCAGTTCTGGATCCAGGGTGAAGTTGTGGTTCTTAAAAAAGGATGGGATTTCCAGTTTTGATTCGTACTCATTGCTTGGAAGATGGTACAATACCAGATCATCTAGGTGGAGGATGGCTCCTTTAGATACTTGAATCCACATGCTCTAGTTGAGCATGGTGACACGGGTGGCGGTGTTGTGCTGGTCAAAGGTGAGTGTAGCCATGCGCACTGGAGTGTTGACGAGCCACCTGTCACCTACGGTCTCTGCTCGTGTCTCTGCGACTTGAATGCGAGGCTTGGCTTTGGCAGGACACAGGGTGTCACTGGCCATGGGTTGCAACCCGCAGATTCCATCAGTATTGTCTCTGAGGAAGGGTTTGCTAGGGCAGAGATAATGAATGTCTTTAGTCAAGGTGCACATGTGCAGGTACAGCTGTGGGTCGCTGACGTGGTAGGCTACCACGTCTGGGGTAAGGATCTTGATGTGCGTGTTAACTTTCCAAAACCCGACATTGACAATGTCCTTGAGTCTGTAGATTCGGCTTGACTCTATGATGGGTAGGTTTAGGAGGAATCTCACTTCCCTCTGCTCGCGTTCAATGTAGAGTGGGATGGCGCTACCCAGAGAGTAGGCCAGGTGTACTTGTAGAAGATCAGCTGGCATGCTGATTGTAGAAGCCAGCACGGTTTGGACAAGGCTTAAGGGTGTCCGGTACGGTGGAATTCTACCCATGGCCAGGCTTTCAATGGAGGAGCTCACCTCCCGTAGCATGTCCGTCATCAGGGCGGTGACCAGCTGAGTTTGGGAAAAGTCATTTTGAAAGACGGTGAACAGCGGTTTCATAGAATTCACAGTTTGGTTCAGCAGAACACTGTGAGTGTTGAGAATTACCACAGCTCCCCTCAAGGTCTTGCCGATGGTCTACTGGGAGGCACTCTGTGTTGTGAGTTGCTCTTTTAACTGTGGGATCTCAGTTTGAATTTCAGCCACATGTCGTCTCATAGTGGCTAGGTTCACTGCGTTGACACTGGACATGCCAATGTTGAACAGGGTTCCAACTGCAGTGTCAGCTCCAAGCACAGCTCCCAGGAACCGTTTGGAGCGGCGGTTGTGTCCATCTAACTCCACTTGTGTGACAGTCATTTTCTCAAGATGGTTGAGCATGTGCTTGGCATCGGCCTTAGCGCGGGCGAGGGAGTCCTCTGTCCATCGGGCACCTGCCCAGCTGTACTGGGCTACTGCGCTGAGGTAGTGTGCTCTGTAGACGTTGTGGGGGTCGAATTGAACATGCACTTTCTGGCTGTGGGTCCGGCAGTTGGTGATCAGGAGTCCCGGGCGTTCAGGATTAGTGAATTCGTGGTTCTCCTTCATACTTTACAGAAGTAATTAGTCAGTCCTAATTAAATTATTGTGAAAAATATACTGGAATAT